TTCTACTTTTCATTTTATACTTTGCCTTACTGTTGCAAGTTTTAAGTATGTGGCTAAATTACTGTCATTTATTAAAATATGAAAATGAACTACCTAGATAAGTGGGATGATAGATTTTTTTTTCTCTAAATGTCTGTAATTTTTTTTTAATGGGGAGGAGGGAACGATAAAGAAATAAGTAACAAGAAGATTTTGAGCAAAAAGAATAAAGCTCAAACAGTGGCTCCTCAGACACGGTTAGGGCTGCAGGAAGAGCTGTTTCTAGAGCAAGAGACTGCCCAACATCTTGCAAATTTCTCTGTGCAGACCCCCTAAGGATGTTCACTCCCATACACATCAGGGAATCTGGCTTCAGCATCTAAAATAAGAGAAAGGAAGTTAGACTTTCAGAAGGGCGTCATCACAATTTGTGTGAGCATTTCCTCTCTATAGGTAAAACAGAGCGAGATGACAAAAACAGATGCAAGGTCTCCTCCTGCCTTTCCTTCCCCTCCTCGTAGTTGGACAGACCAAGGTAACTCACAGCCAAATGACTTTCTTTCGGCTCCTACGAGCCCCAGTCGTCCACCATCACTGGCTTTCAGCTGGATGCCTGGATACCAGGAACCCGTCCTGTGATCCTCCTGCTGGGGTCTTCTCCCCTCCATCCCTCACATCTGAGGCTCTTTCTCTTCTATTCCCTTCATAAGAAGCCAATTCTGCTTAACCAGTCCATACTGGTTCCTCTCTGAGACTAGCTCTATGTACCAAATGAAAATTCAAAGGATGGTAAATCTCAGCCCTACACTTAAAGAGCTGCCAGATACTTCTGAGGAGGCTCAGAAAACAATTAGGCAGCCTTAATGACAATAGGAAAGTAAAGAAAAAATTTCAGGTAAGTGTGTGAGAGGGAGCAGATACTGATTAGCTGTCCTCACTGCCAATGTCGTCTTTACTCACAAGGAGGAGTACTGGGAGCCATTCAGGGAAGAGATACAAGCAGAAAGCTCTGATGGTGGCTCCAAGAAAAATTTGCAAACAGAACAGATCTTCTTGGCATTATCTTTTAGCCATTTGTCCCTTTTCCCTCCGTACTTCTGAGGATGAGACTGTGGGGAAGAGTTGCTATGTTATGAATACTGACTGCAGTGGCAATGCGCTGATGCTCAGGAGGGTGGAGTAGAAGACAGAAAAGACATCCTTGAACATCATTGGACCATTATGTCAAAACTGATAACCCACATCCACATTTCATTCTGCAAGAAAAATGCTCCTCTCATTTGTTTAAGTGTTACTAACTGAATGTTCTTTTATCTACAGCCAAATCCATTGTTGACTGGCTCACCTGTTCTGAAGAAGTGTGTGTATTGGCTCTCGAATCAAAGGATTTGGCTTCAGATTTGCTCTGTGGCTTGTAAACCAGGGTAAATTACTTAACTTTTCTAGGTCTCTACCTCCATAAGTTTTTTAAACAGCCAACCATGCTACCCACACTTGTTGGAGATCTCTATAAAAGTAGGAAATAAAAATTACTGTGCAAAGTAATTCACAGCTCAATAAATATTTAATAAATCTTTTGTTGGGAATGTAGAACACTGAGGCAATAAGGCTTAAGTAGAATACAAATTGAGCAAAAGGGATGAAATGTAATCAAGAAGTGACTATAGGAAAACAGCAAGAAATATCAACGAGAAAAGCAGTGGGCAAATCATTTTGCCTCCTGAAACAAACCTAAAACCTAGTCTCCAGTGGTCTAGGAGAATCCAGGAAGAAGGTATCTTTTGGTCCAGGGCTGCAGATATTCCAGGAAACTACAAATACACACCCTGCAAAGAAAGAAAAGCAACAGCCTCATTAATATTTCTCTCTTCTTTCTCTTTGTTTCTTTATTTTTCATCCTTCTCCTCCTCTCTTCCTTCCAAAAAGTGAAACTATTTGAAAGCCATGCACAGCGAATATCCTTTGCTCCAATTTGCCATGGGTGGATGGTAGGACCTGGTTTATCAAGCTTCTAATCTGCAGACCTACAACAGTGTAGAGACACAGAGCGTCAAAGGCTCTGGAGCCCTTAGGCCTGCCCCTCCACATGCTGTCCTGCATTCTAGTCTCTCGGAGCTTCAGTTTTCTCATCTGTATAATGGCGACATGTGCAAGAGAGTGGGAAATGGGAGAGTAATTACTTGGGGAAGCTCTCAAGTTCAGGCTCCTCTATTAGTTCCTTGAGCCTGTGAAGGCACAGGAGAGAGACTCAGAAATGTCTGTGGAGCATCTAGTTGTGCCAGCTGTCATTGTAACCAGTGAAAGGAATAGATGATATCCTATATCCTGATGGAGAAGATAGGTAATGAGAGGATAAATTGGATAATTTATGAAAATGAAAGGAGCTGTGAGGATGAAAATGTAACTAGGTGAAGAAACAGAGCATGCTTGGGGTGAGTGAGCCAATTGTAAAGAGATGAGGCAGGGAAAGGCCCCGTGAGATGGAAGGAACCTTTGTGCATGGCTACAAAGAGGAGGAAGCCACTCCCCTCTCCCGTAGAACCCCAGGCCTGATGCTATGGCTGGGTTCCTAAACTCACTCCCGCTGCCATCGCGTTTCCTGGAGCCTCTTGGTGCCTGACCCACACCTTCAACCTATGATGGGTCCCATGGGCCCATAAGGTGGGGTTTCATGGGCCATGGGAATCATCAGGGAAGATACAGAAGTGGCCAAGGGGAGCCGGGCAAGGCTGGGGCTGTGCAAGCCGATCCAGGCAGGTAGGCAGAAAATAGTTTAATCTCTTTTATTGCAGTTTTTTTGGGGGAGGGGAGATTATTCTTTATAATGAATATGCTACATTGCCAGGATTATAATAATGCTAAATAACAGTGTTTGCCTTGTCTTTGGATAATGTTCAAAGTACTCACGTATATGAACTCATTTAATTTTCATGACAGTCACTTGAGACACATGCTGACCTTGTGCCCATTTTACAGAGGAGCAGACACACGGTCTGGAGAGCAATCTTCCCAGATAGTGAGTGGCATGGATAAAGCTGGCTGCCAGCACACACCTTATCTGGCTTGAAACAGGGAGCTGGTCTAGAAAAAGATCATTCAAGGTCTCCAGCTTAATCCTCTGCTAAGTGCATTAAATATATGCTCTATCTGCCATCCCACTAATTCTGTAATGTTGGTATTATTATCTCTATTATAGAAATGAAGAAACTGAACTCCTGAGATGTTCACTATCTAACCCGAAGTCACCCAGCAAAGCAGGTAGCAGAGCTCTGCCAGCCTCTGGAGACTACGTCCCTAACAAGACGCCCTCTTAACACTATGGCGGGATTCCTGCCTGGATTCCCTCTGTGCTTTGTGCTGACTGACTCCCATGATCCTTCAGAAGTCTCTGACTTAAAGGACTAGAAGAATAATCATGGAGTTTCTGACTGTAGACCAGGTGCCTCAGGTGACACAACTCACCCATTAGAAGACCTTTTCCTAGGGGATGCCGGATTCAGGCTTGCTCAGGGAGGACAGTACGTGCCGGAGAGCCCTTCAGGAGGAATCAGAGAGCTCTAGCTGCGGGGCAAGCTGAGGGACACAGAGTAGCTAAAACATTCTTGAAAAAAAAATGAAGCTAAAAGACTTACACTTCCCCATTTCAAAACAAGCTATATAGTATCAAGAAAGTGTGGTACTGTATAAGGACAGATATGTGGAAAAGAACTGAGAGTCTGGAAATAAACTCATACATTTATATTGAGTTTTGATAATACTAAGACTATTCAGTGGAAGAAGAAACAGTCTTTTTTAGCAATGCTGTTAACACAAATGAGTGTTCACATTTCAAAAGAATGAAGTTGGACTCCTAACTCACTCCATATGCAAAAATTAACATAAAACATAAGATTAAAGGCCTAAATGTAGGACTAACACAATGAAATTGTTAGAATATAAGAAATCACCAAGAAAATAAAAGGACAACTTAAAGAATAGAGACAATGGTTGGCAAATCAAAATATCTAACAAGTGTTTATTATCCAAAATATGTAAAGAACTCGAGAGTCAACAATAACCAGACACACAATTTTAAAAATGACCACAGGATTTGAATAGACATTTCTTCAAAGAGGATATATAAATGGAAAATAGGCACTTGAAATACACTTAAAAGCATTGGAAAATTGGTTGACAAGGATATGGAAAACCTGAGACCATCGTACACTGCTAGTGGGAATGTCTAGTGGTGCAGCCACTTTGAAAAATAGTCTGGCATTTCTTCAAAAGGTTAATCAGAGTTACTCATCCTCTATCACTCAGCAAATTCACTCCAGGATATAGATGCTAGAGAAATAATAAGAGTTGTTAACCAGGTGTTCAAGCAAAAGTTTGTACCTGATTCTTCCAGTATTATTCATAAATAGCCAGAGAGAGGAGACAAGCTAATGTACAGCAGCTGATGAATGGGTAAATGCAACATAGTATCTTCATGCAAGGGGTGTTACTCTCTCTAAAGAGCAATAGGTAAGAACTGACATAATGCTGCCACATTAAAACCTTTGAAAACTTGATGTTAAGAGAAACAAGTCTTACAGAAAAGGCCACATAGTAGACTATTTCAATTATATAAAATATGCAGAGTACACAAATCCAAAAACCCCCCAAAACTGAGATAATTGTTGCCAGGAGCTGTAGGTAGCGGGGGAAATATGGAGTCATTTCTATTAGGTACAAGTTTTCTTTTGGTGTGATGAAAATACTTTGGAATTTTATAGTAGGGATGGTTGCATAATTCAATGAATAAAATTACTCAGTTGTACATTTAAAGTGGTTACTTTCATAGTACATAAATTACATCTGAATTTTTTAAAAAGGACCAGTTACAGTAACGATTCCCATTTAACTTTAAAGAAAACTAAAAAATTGAAACATTTGCCTCAGCATTTCTTTTCTGTAATTCATGCCTTGAGGACCAGAGAAAACCAATATTCAGATCACACCCAGTGACTAAACCAGCAGTGGCAACCAGCACTGGGAAATTCAAGAAACATTGTTGCCCAGGAACTCAATTGTCTTAGAGCTCCCTCTGAAACAGACCCTAGAACAAGCACTTAAGGGAAATGGAGTTTATTTGGGAGATAAAGGAAATACCAAGAGCAGAGCAGGAAAGTGAGTCAGAGAAAGGCAGGCAGCCAGTAAAGCCAGCATTACCCAGAAGTTACCCTGCGGCCACTGGAACTCCATCCACCGGGGACCACTGAAGCACAGTGACGCTCATCCCCAGGGGCAAGAAAATGGGATATTTATACTACAAATCTCGTAAGTCTAGGGTTGGCTCCTCCAGAATGAGACAGGCAGGTGCTGGCAGCGGTTCAGACTTGAACTGAGACGGAAAGGCCAAAAGGAAGAGCCGGGCAGCTAATGGGAACTCTCTACAGATGGCTGCAGACCGTGGTTGTTGAGGTTATAAAACCTGAATTAAGAGATTTGTTTCTTCATATGCAAAATACAGGCAGGCCAGAGTAAGTGCCCAAGAGTCATCCTTGTGACGAGGACAGCAGAAACCCTGACTCTGTAGCCAGGTAGGCAGAAGTATTGAGGGACGGCAGAAGGCTGGATATTCCAACTGGGGTTTGAGGTGAGGAATTTTTGTGAAGACAGAGCACTCAGCATCAGAGACATACTGAGAGAACATAAGCATTAATGATTGTGATGTCTGCCTGAGAACTTAGCCCTTTATCAGCAGTGCAAAGCCCTTCCTTATCCTGGAGTTCTCTGAAATGAATATAGCTACTCCAGATTTCTTTTTTCCATGTTTTTACTTTTTATCCATCTGCATCTTTAAACTAAAAACGTAGTTCTTGTGGACAGCACATAGTTAATTGGGACTTATTTTTCATCTACTCTGAGAACTTTTGACTTTCCATTTTGTATTTAGATCAATGACATTTACAGTATTATTGACACAGTTGTATTAATAGCTACTGCATTTGTAACTGTGTTCTATTATTGTCCTTGTTCCATTTATTTTTGGGTTTTTTTTTTCTTCTTTTTCTACTTTGTCTGCCTTTAATAAACATTTTATATCATTCCTCTTTCTCATGTATCCACATTTATTGTACTTTTAAAAATATGTTTAATATGTGGGCATGATGAAGTTCTAACTTGTGGGGAGGTTGAGGCTGAGTCCAGGAGTCACAACCCAGCCTTAGCACTGGAAAGATACCATCTTTAAAAAAAAATTTTTTTTTAACATACTGGGTCTCCAATGGTCTATGTTAGCAGGAAGAAGTATGCTATTATCTTAGATCCCTAACACTTTTTCAGTCTAGTGAGTTGAACTTATTCTAACCACATTGGACGACGTCACCACTGAAGACGTGTGGCCCTCTCAGCCTAACAGACCCTTGCTGCATGCTGCCATCCCAATTAAAAATGCTACAGGTTTGTGAAGAGGGAGAAGGAGATGCAATTGTCTCAGTGTCCTGCTCACCTATGTGTGTTCCACCCTTGGGCTCTTGAGGTTAGAATTGTCCTCCAATAATTCAGCCACTGTCCCAGATTAAACCCAACAGACCAAGTAAAGAAGTCAAAGAACATCTAAAACCCCCATTTTCCTGAGTCCAGGGTGACGCTCTCTCACTTGAGCTTCTTTGCCCACCACCAGGTCTCACATCTTCAAAACTATCAAGGCTAGGCCTATTTATTGCAGATACTCACTCAGAGCCCGGCTCTGTCTTCCAGTGTAGACAGAGCGGTTCCTGAGGCACCTGTGGGGCTCTGGAGAATGATTCAGAGGCAGGAGCCACTTGGCTGGTGTTTTCCCAGAGCTAGAAGTGACTGAGAATTTACATCCAGTGCCCATAACAAAAGTGGCCCTTTACCGAAATAGCCTAATTCCTTTGCCTCAAGCTGGACAACAGTGAGATGTATTTAACATTCCAAATTTCCTCTGTGGGATCAAGGAAAAGCCACCTCAGAACCCTGCTTAGTTTCTGTCCTTTCTTGTCATGTTTTCTGTACACCTTTACCCACCTCCTCTGGGAGCAAGTCCTTAACCAAGTATGTCCTCATCACAACCATAATCTCGAGTCCGCTATCACAGAACTGAACCAGAGACAAGATGCACAAGGGCCGAGGTGGTGAATGCTCTCTGATCTTATATTTTCATAGACCATTCAATCTACTCAAAAGTTATTTTTAAAACAAAACAAAAAAATGATTATTTTGCTCATCCAATGATTTGAAATGGCTAACACCATTTAAATGGCAGATGCTCATACAAATAAATAAGATTTTCCATTTCTGCCCAACAGAACTCTATGCTATTCCAATATTTGTACTTAGCACTTTCTTGTGACTATCTCTCTCAAATGACTGAAAATGCCCAGGGTCTGTAGTAACCAAACAATTCACTTGATTGGTTATTGTATTCTAGACTTGCTTGAATATTTACTCTGAGATCAAGACTTCTTTTCTTTTCTTTTTCCTTTTCTTTCTTTTTTTGAGACAGGGTTTCACTATGTAGTTTAGGCTGGCCTTGAACTTACTTTGTAGCCTTGGCTGGCCTCAAATTTATGGTGACCCTCCTGCCTCAGCCTCCTGAGTGATGGAATTATAGGTATGCGCCGCCGTGCACAGCTAGGTCAAGACTTTCTGACTTCTTTCTTTACCTTTCTTTTTCTCTTTTTCTGTACCTGCATTCAGGCAAAAGTGACACCCTTATGTGTCCCCTGTTGCTTGGTAAAGCCTATTCTCAGAAATCATTAAATAAGTGAGTGAGTGAAACGTGGTTTCTACTTTTCTTCCCTCTAGAGGAGACGGGAGGGGAAAGTAAGAGTACATAATGAGGGCTCTGGATGTTATTGAGGGTATTTCCGGGAACAGAATACAGGTGGGAAGAGAATTCTGGCGCATATGTGACCTTGAAGATATAATCTGGCATTTTTCCTTGGTAAGTGGAAATTGGTTGTTGACTTTTCCTTGCTTACAGAGCTCACAGATTGATCATGGTAAAAAGGGGCAAGACCTCCCTCCCATCTCTGTGCCTCACCTGTGTGGTGAGAACTCAGTATCTGATGCACTTCTAAACGGCATTGTGGTCAAGGTATTAAGTACTTCAGAAAACAGTCTTAGTTTAGATTCTAGTTCTATACTTATGAGCTATATGGTCTCCATCACTTAACCTTTCTCTGGCTTGATTTTTCTGGATATAAAATGAAGACAAAAGTTGTTCTAAAGGGGCTGGGGATTTAGCTCAGCAGCATAAGCGCCTGCTTGGAAGCAGGCAGTTGTGAGTTCGATCCCTGGTACTGATAAAAAGACAAAAGACAAAAAAAAAAAAAAAAAAAAAAAATTGTTCTAAAGCAGAAATGAGATCCAACATATACAATAGCTGGCACCAAGTAAATACTCAAAAATAGGAATCTTTTCTCTCTATATGGCAAGATTCAGTAAGCTGGTTTTCTCTGAGTCATCAGTCTGCTTCCCTTCTGAGCTCCCACCCAATGTACTCCCAAGAATTAATATTCTGGAAATTAAAATTAGCAGTCACTTTTCATAGCACTCACTGTTTTCAATCCACTCATTTTGCTGGTGGTGAAAGTGAGACCTACATGGCCCATGGGCTTTGTTCAAAGTATGATGGTTCTCCCCTGAAGGTCTTTGCTCTGCAGCTCTTAAGTACCACCTTTTAGAGGCCTATATTTACACACTTTGGCAAATATTTAGGCATTTTCACTTCCAATATTATTTTACAGGTGGCACTTCAGAAATATAAAAATATTTCTGATATTTTTACAATGGTTCCTCCAAGGGGAAAATGCTGTGGATTTCTCAGTGGCTCCTAAAGGTGGTGACCACTGACCATTGGTCCCAGATCCTTTTTGAGAAGCCCATTCTTTCTGAAGACACCATAAATGCCCCTGCTGAGGCTGGAGGACAGTCTCTCTCTCAGTGGTTTGGGTGGGTCAGTCTGTTTCCTGGTCTTGAGTGTTTGGCTTACCTACCTGCTGTGCTCTACAGACACAGACCTCCTTCTGTCCCCACCTTGGGTTGGTCAGAGACTTGGGACTCCATAGCTAAATATTCCAGAGCAGGGGTTCAGATGGCCTAAAGAGTTCCTGCTCTGGCTAGGCTACCTACCTCTGCTCCACAGGGGACTTTCCCTGTGTCAGAGGGTCCACCATAGACCCCCAGAGTGGAAGTCACCAAGATAGGCCAATCAGACAGATTGTTAGGAGCAGCTGGAAGGGTGCAGAAGAGTAGCTTCACAATGTCAAGCATAGTAAGCTTCATAGGGACAGCAGGAGGGAATGGCAGAAGTACCGTTGGGCTCCTGTCAGGTTCCTGTCTGTGCCACCCAGTGTCCCAGCCGATGCCACCCTTGGACCCACATCTGGAGTAACCTTGGGAGGAGATTCCATGATCTGAATGTTGCCAGGCAGGTGAGTAGACACCTCAGAATCTGGGAGATGACTGGTTTTTAAAATTCCCCAATGATTCAAATGAGCAGCCTCTGTCCTCTAGATTTGCCAGATTTAGCAAAAAGACAAAAGCACAGGGCATCTAATAAAATCTTAATTTCACATAACAATGAATACTTTTTAGAGGAAGTATGCCCTGTGTAATACTGGGATCATATTTATACTAAAAAAAAGTTATTTGTCTGAAATTCAAGTTTAACAGGGCATAATGTATTTCAGCTGGCAAACCTCCCACCCTCCCCACCCTCAAACAGGAAAATGACATTTTAAAATATCACTCTAAAAAAACACACTTACTGTCAAAAAAAAAGTAGAGAAGTATAAAAAATTAGAATAAAGAGCAGCCGCAATTTTGCTACCCAGAGCTGCTAACCTGTGTTAACACTCCACTTCTATTCTTTGTCAGTCTGTATGAGTGTGCGTGTGTATGAATGTGTATGTGTGATGTACTGTGAACCATGTATTTATTTATAAAATTTGGGCTATGTTAAAAATAAGGTTTAAACCAAATCTTTTTTCTCCTTGTATCTATAATATTTTATGTAATTATGAAAGTAAACATTATGTTTTTTTAAGAAAATATATAACATTAAACACACACATAAATAATGCTAGGTCTTTGTTCCCCATGTCATTGAATATGTTTAATGTTATAAATTTTCTTGTGCCTTTAAATATTCTTCATCAACAGGTCTTTTTTTTTTTTTTTTTTTTTTTTTGTCTTTTTCCTTTTTTATCGGTACCGGAGATCAAACTCACAACCGCCTGCTTGCAAGGCAGGTACTTATGCCCCTGAGCCAAATCCCCAGTCCCTATCAGCAGGTCTTTTTAATGGCTGAAAATGTTCACTCTTATTTCAACTTAGGCATGGAAATCGAGAAAAACAGTATTCATTTTCTACTGTACCACTCCTGCTGAAGAGAAGAAATACTGCTTGGATTCAGTGAGATAATGATACTGTAGCATTCTGGTCTCTGATGTTGAAAATAAAAAAGTTCTGATTTATTTTAAATTTTATAAGTACTCAGGATCCATTTGAGGACAGGTCCCATTGTAGGTATTCTGGGCACAGAAATGAATAGGTGGAGGAATTTTGGAATAACATACATATGAAATTACATTTGGGTGTGGTGGTGGTAATAATGGTAATAGATGACAGATAAAAAAGGAATAAATAAGTAAATAAATAAACATAATGATTTCATGTGGTAATGAAGGAGAACTGAAACCATTATAACAACACCATTTACTTTCATACTAACGTAATTCTACTATTTGACACTTGGCACTGAAATGATTATTCTATGCCACAAAATTCTAGCCTGAAGAAGACAAAGTTGCAAACAATGCTATTGTTTGTCTCAGAAACTTCCTGAAAATCCATTTTTCCGAGAAACAGACTTTTTAACTAGTCATTTTCAGGGCAGCTGGCTCCTTCTGGGAACAAGCCAGATGGTTCGCATACTCTTCAAGGACCTGAAAAGCCCTTACCTACGTTCATCAGGTCTAAACCATCACATCACAAATTTTGCATTTCCAACCAGTCTTCACACTGAAAGGCCTATTTAAACTAAAACATGTTATCAATGTCTCCTCCTTGGCCACCTCCTTCTAAGATGCTTCTATGACTCCATCGGAATAGCTAACACTTCCTGCATTAAGCAGTAAACTTGGCTGTGGGCAACAAGCAGGTTATTGCAGTGGGATTTGGCTGTCAACACAGTGATATGAAGTAAAAGAAGCAGAGCCAATCAACCCATAGTGACATCGGCACGACTGGAGGTGGTGACACTTCCATTGGATGGAAGCCTCGCCCAAGTTTTAATGTTTTACAATGAAACCTAGATGAAGACCTGAAAGTGAGATTTGCCATATCTTGGAGGCAAAAATTTTCAGACACTGAGAATAACCAAAGAAGGAAGGCTGGTTGTAAAGCAAAGGAAGGCAGAGAGGTAGAGAGCAAGTGGAGGCCAAAGGATGTGGTTCATCACTGACCGTGTATAAGGAGCTTGATTTTATGTTGTGGGAGTTAAAGAATTGGAAGATGTAAGCAGGAAGTGACACTCTTTCATGTGTCCCGCCATGTCCATTCATTCTGTCAAGAAACATTAGTGGAGACCCTTGTCTTATGTGGATTTTGTGGGTATGAACTGTGGCTGGAGATTAAGTAGTTTACAAGAAAGACAGGAATAAGAGCCAACAAGCAGAGGGCGATTTCAGGGAAGGAAGGGATGAGCACACAACCAAAATAATTGGCCGTTTCCTATCATGGTTCTGGCTCCCCGTCTCTGGAGTTTTATGTGAGCTTCACCAGATGGTTCTTTAGTCATTTAGTCCTTTAGTCTGCTGTTGACCCAGCAGAGCAACCTTCTGCATTGTCTTCTATGTGCCTCAGTATAAGCCCAATACCTGGCATAGAGTAGGTGCTCGATAAATGGTAGAACAAATGGTCTGCTTTTGGGATGTTTATTCTCCAACCACTTCCAAAACATTTTGAAGCTGAGTGCAGAATTACAGATATTGTTTAAACACAAATAAAAGATAAATAAGATCAAGAAAATATAAAGATAGTGAAGATAAAATCTGGGGTTAAAATTAGTGGTTAAAAATACTTACGGAACAGTGTTGAGTTAAAGTGAATTCAAAACATCTTCTAGTAGCCACTGAAAAGGTAACATAAGTCATTCTAGAATCACAGGAAAAAAATTGAGAATAAAAAGCTAGTGGTTCAGGAAAAGCCTAGTTCTTTCTAGTATTTATCAAAGAAAAAATTTATGCTCCTTATAAAGAGTTTTCTGTGAGACAGTAATGTCATCCCTAAAACCAAAATAGTTAGAGATTTCAAATGGTTTTTATGAAACATCCCTATGGAAGCATGATGCAGGCACATCTGAGCATAATTCCATCAAGACAAACAGGCCAGGACAAGGAGACAGAGTACACAACGCTGACCTGTAGTTTAACTGTAGTAAACTGTAGTTTACTGTAGAATATACAGGGACCAAAAGGGATGGATATTGAGGAGGATGGAGGTGACAGGACTCAACACTGTCTGAATGGAGCAGGGCAGTCACACATGTGCGTCTCACACACATTTGAAAAAAGCAGCTTGGAATGCAAGAGGTACCTTTAGCTTACATCCTGTGTGACTAATGTTAGGCCCTCCTGAAGCAAAATGAGGGACCAGGAGACCTCCATAGAGGAGGGATTAGTGTGTGTGTGTCGGGGGGAATCTTCATGAAGTGCTAGAGTAAACACTTCATATTTTCAGGCTGTGAAGAAAACATCTCCTGGCTGGTAGGCTTAGGAAATGTGTACAATTTGTGGTGGGGTCATTTGAAGCCCGTCTGTAGCTCCATTGGGGTGCCCCATTTCCTGGCTCTACAAGTACTATGCAAATCTGTTGACTGATGGCTGACACACATGGTGACAGCCACAGAAATGCTTTCCTTTGGCTGCATGTGTGTGTCCTATTTACAGATATCTGGAATCATGAAGGGTACAGGACTCCACTGCTATTGCATAATTATGGCCTCTCAATGGCTTCTTCACTGAGAACACTTAAGAAAGAATATCATGGTGAATTCATTACAAAAAAACCCCACCTCTTTTTTATTTTTTATTTCTTTAATTTTTTTTTGTCTTTTTCCTTTTTATCTGTACCAGGGATTGAACTCATGACTGCCTGCCTGCAAGGCAGGCGCTTATGCCGCTGAGCTAAATCCCCAGCCCCTATCTTTTTTATTTTTATTATTAACTAATCTTTATTATTATCTAATAATTTTTATTATTAAATAATTTAAGCATTATTTAAACTCCCTGGATTTCTGTGTGCACAGACATAACCTATACTCTGCTCTCATGATGATGAGCACTTCAAATCTTCAAATGCAAGCCCTTTATCTCTTGCCAAGAGTGTAATCGTTGAATCCTGATGCTACTCACAGATGGAAAATAGAGACCGAGTGAAGGCTAAGCGACTGCTTCCCTAAGTCATGCAAGGCTGCTCCTAAGCCCTCAGTTTCTTAACTCTTAATTGAGATCTCTTTACCTGAGATGATGCTGAGTCTAGACCTGAGGCCTGACACTGGCAGCAGGAAGCAATTAATTTCCTCTGCCTCTTAGGTTTGTTTTTCTTTTCCACTTGCTACTAGAGAGATACTCTTGGATTGAAGAATAAGGCTATAGCTGCTCCCATTATCTCACTTATTTCTGCTTTGCTCAGGTACCTGCCTTTCAGCTAATGCCAAGTGGAAATGCTCTAAACAGATGTTCTTCATAAAACATCTCAGAAACCAACCGGCTTTGTGGAAGGTGGTGGTCAGGTCTCAGATCTACAAAGGTGGTATTAAAATTCCCTCTAATTTAAACTCGCTTCTGATTTGTGGTTCCAGACCCACCACCACGTCTTTCTTTTCTACACAGCATTAGCAACACAACTCCGTTTTGTGAGTGCTCATAGCTGAACGGTGGACGAGGAGGGATGCTGAACCGGACGGAGCCACAAGCACCCACGAGAATAGAAACAGAGGCGTGGAAGTGTGAACGCGAAGCTGGGGCTGCACATTCTGGGGCCGGATGTGAGGCAAGAAAGAAACCCATAAATTCTCAGACAATAAGGTCAAGGAAATAAATTTTTTTTGATAACAATAGGATGGTGGTGGAATTTATTTGTATGATTATAATGCTGGATTTTTGCTTATGTCAAGACTGGAAAATCAACGACTGTGTTAGTTGATCTTTATCATCATTTTCCTTTCATTTGGCACACAATTTTAAGATTATCTCCAGATTTCAGAATACATTCTGACTTCATATTATGCACGTACTTGTTGTACGTGTTATTTCAGAGGAGGACAGTAGGGTGGGGCTTGAGAATGAGGAGGAGTAATGCCGTCTATCAATGCTGATACCTAAGATGATTCTCTGAGCACGTGATTTCTACTGAAGAAACAGACACAGCTTAGGGAGGGTTGACTGGTGCTGCAAAAGGACACGAGACAAATATTTGTAACTCTTTTTTAATGACATAGGAAAAATATAAATATCTATAGAAGATTGAAAGAAAATAGGAAGAGGAAATAAATCCAAGTTGATCAGGGTCTCAAGGATAGCAAAAGAGATTATGGCATGTATTTTCAAAGTATTTTAGCATCAGGTTTGGAACAAAGAAGATTTTTGCCTTCCAGTAACCAGATTCCCTGTCAGATTGGCTTGCTCCCCAACACGTGTCTATATGCAGACTCTGCTCCCTAGGTCTCCTTTTAGCCAGCAAGTTCCCCAACTATGATTACCTCCAACATATGAGCTCATTTCTCTGCACTTACTCCCAACCGGTTGACGTGAATTTGCAACATTAATGAAGTAAGTATCCAACTATCCTCATCCATGAGCTGTTACCCGGTACTGATTGTAGCCTTAACTGACAATTACTTGAATGGGCTGGGCCACACTGTGCTTTTATTAATTTTCCATTGTGATGCTCATTACTAAACTTCAGTGCAATTGTGCAACAATGCAAACTCCCCACTGTGGCTAACTGAAGTGGAAAATTCCACTGGCCAAATCCCAAACTTATCTATCCTGGAAAATAAATAATTTGGTATTGCTAAATTTGATATCAGGATCCTGAGCTTTGATTCTGTGGAAGAGAAGCATGACTTTGCAGTGAAAATAAACAGAATTTGCTAAATTATTTTCCCTTCACTGCTCTTTCAGAGGACATGAGGTATCCAAAGACTTGATTTACCCCCTCACCACATAGGGCAACAGTGAGCTCTTACAATTATGATATTATTACAATCAATTGCATTCTTTTTTGGATAACTTAAGAGTGAGAAAGGGATAGGGAGAAGAGGAGAATACAGATTATACAGGTTCGGAATTTTTATTTCCTTCTGTCAGTCCTGTAAGGAGATAATATATTTTTTGCCAGTGTCAACACCACCACCACCGCCACCAAGCCTTGTTTCTAAGCCCTTCTAAAATAGCAAACAGAATATATGTGGAATGTCCAAACTCTGTCAAAAATGAAAGTTAAAGCTTCATCACAGAAACATTTTTTTTTTTTTTTTTAGAAAAATGGAAGGATTTGCTTATGCATATTCTTCCCATATGCTCACCTCCTTCTCTCATCTTGGCTTCAGAAATCAAAAGCAACTCTGGCTCCCCTCCTCTTCTTCTACCTCGTACTGGCCACCCCTTAAAATCCTAATATGCCTTTCATTATCCTTGAACATGCTGGGGTTGTAAACATGCATATTAGGTTGAATTACATCCACTCTTAGAAAACAGAAAGAGGAAACTACAGGGGCTTTTCCTTCTGATCTATGACTAAGGTATGCTGAGTTTGAAGCATATGTTGGGAGAAAGTGATTTGAAAATATGACCTATCTGAGTAACCCCAGCAATGCAAATGCTATAACATAAAACCGATCAAAGTTGGAATTCCCTTTGTTACTGGCTACTAAAGTAGAGCCAGTGACTCCTGTGGTCTTCGGAGAAAACAACTGGCATAGCAGAAAGGGAAGAGCTCAAAAACGTATCCATAAAAGAGCTGCCTACTTCATGCTCTTGCTTCTCAAGAAATATAACTAGTAAATGTCCACAAAATGTCCAGGAAGAGCATTGATTAGCATCCAACTAATTCAGCTTTCTATTAAGCATACCAGTTTTGGTTTTTTTGGTTGATCATTACACATTTATTGGAAATTCATAATATGGAAATTAGCTCCCATGAGAGAAGATATTGGAAAAAACAAAACAAAACAAAATGAAAAAAGGCTCACATGGCCCAGTTGGAGTACAATCATCTCTATCTTGGATGAAAGGCAAAGACATGTGGCGAAAAATACTCTTCTCCAAGATTCACATTTGTCACAGTTTAGGATCTCTAGATCTTGTTGTAAAATAAGGGATTTAGCCATATGACCTCAGAGGAGATTCCTGTGCTGGGAAATGCTGTTTTTGGTCTTGAAGACATTGAGTCACTTGAGGGTAGAATCGTTGAAATGGTACTGACTGGGAGCTTTGTGCATGGCTTTTAGTGTGACCTTTGCTTTCTGAGCCTCATCTTTGTGCAGTGAAGTGCTATCAGGCCAGGTCACCTGTATGGCTCCTTTTAATTTTCAGTTTCGTCAGTAACAGGTCATCGTGTCTGGCTCCAGTAACCAGTTACTTACACACTAATCAAGGTGTTGCTCTGAAGGTTATTTTGTAGATATGGTTTGTTAGGAGCTGTTGAAGCTAACTACATGACAGGGCTGTAGCATGGCCAGGGCATGGCTGAACTGACAACAAGGCAATGTCTCAAAGGGCAAGATAGATCTCAGCTGAGGACACCTGGCTCCAACCCCAATTAGTAAGACTGAGATTGTAGCTGCAGGCACTTCACTCCTGTAGTGAAAATCACCTAGAGACTTTCTGCTAAGATATTTTCCTAAATTAACATAGTCTATTACTTAGAAAAATCCTTGAACTACTCCCAAGGTGCTGCTCAGTTTCCTGCATTTTCCATTCTAACCCCTTCCTTGTTTGAAAACGAAATAAATATGGGCTGCCCAGAGACAATGTCTTAGCCCTCTGAGTCTTGAACTCTGCAAGATTTTGATTCTCTGGAGCCCTAAAATCATACCACTTGTCTGATTTATTTAAGCCTTTGCCATTCAGACATTTGGGAGATTGGGGATCTTGGCCAGGCCCCAATAATGGTTAACATCCACAATCAGTTTTCTTTTTTAATGTGGGCAGGATCTGTTCAAATAGTTGTAAGTTCCTAAAAGCACCACTAAGATTTCCAGGAAAAGAATAATGTCTTCCTCGAGGCTACAGCTTTAATTTCAACTTGCTAGCCCTGCCCACCAGTTTGGGGCTGTCAGGCCTCACAATTACGCAAGCCCGTTCCTTAAGATAAAGCTGTTGAGTACATTTACATCCTATGGATTCTGTGTCTCTGGAGAAGCTGACTGGTAACTCTGCAGGAGGGATGGTAAATCTCACATAGGTTGGTCAAGGGTACACCAGTATCTTCTGTGTCCTGGCATGTTTTGTCTCCTTTCTTTTCGCAGATTTTGATTCCTACTAAACGTCTTTTCCCAAAGTTTTGCTTCTCAAGAACCCAACCTACAAACCAAAGAAACTGTACACTCTCTGTCCAACTCAGGTCTTACTATGGTGCAGTGTCTCGGGGTGTTACTACTTTCTGGGTGACAATTAGGTAATTCAAAGTGCTGATGTAACAAAACACCTCCTTTTTTTTTTCTTTTCTTTTTATGGTGGTGGCACTTGGGTTGGAACCTAAAGCTTCACTGAGCTACATCCATACCTGCCATTTACTTATTTTTATATTTCAGTTTTTCTATAGCTATAAATGCCAAAAATAGGAACAAAGATGGTGCTGAATCCCATCTTATTCTAGGATTAATATCCATCCATGCATATTGGAACTAATTGAAATAATAAAACCGTATCCATCTTATGTATATATGCATTTTAATAAAACTCTAATTTATGTTTAATTATTACTCATAAAATGTTAAAAGCATATTTATGTTGCTTTGATCAATTTTTCCAGAACATAAATTTTGTGAACACCTACTTCTTTATGGTCACAGGAAATAAAATTTCAATTTGTGTTTTTATTTATGTCACCAAAAAAGTCTGATGAGGTAATGAAAAAAAAAAAAAAAACACTTAAAAGAAAACAGTGTTAGCGTATAATTTTTTATGGTGAGAGAAATTCAAATGTAAGTTCATGAAGAAAAAAATAAAATTTCTGTGTATTAGATAAAAACTTGTTGCATGTATGTGTTTTTCATGGTGGATGGTGATTGCAAACTGCTTTGGAGGTCAGATATGATGGCATATGCCTATAATCCCAACTACTTGGGAGCTTGAGGCAGGAATATCGTTAAGTTCAAAGTCTGCAGGGTCAATTCAGTGGAGATCCTGTCTCTAAATGAAATATGAAAAGGGCTGGGAATGTAGCTCAGTGATAAGGTGTTTTCCTAGCATTCATGAAGCCCTAGGTTCAATACTTTGCACTAAGAAAAAAAATCACTTGGGTTTAAATATTATGAAGAGTGATATAAGCTTTTACTACTAAAATGATTCACCTTTTATCGTAAACCTCTATCTTTTAAAATTCACTAAGCTTATGATTAAAAATTTTAGATGTTAACCTAAAATCTGACATGAAGTACGCAGGTTGTAAAACTAAAAAAAAAAAAAAATTCAGAGTTCTGAGCACAAAGTTCAATAATCACTGATGTGTGTTGCCGGCTGGCCTACGAGGCTTTCAGCTAATGAGTGAGTAGCTCCATGTCCCTAACTAACTAAGGTCTTGGGAGCATGATCTTCTCCAGAGCTCCGAGCACCCCACTGAAATGCAGAGATAGGACAGCTCTCTTTTGATCTCCACCCACGCTCTTTAAAGGCAAGGACTATAGGAGACTGCCAGGAGAGGCAAGAGACATGATTTGCAAATTCCCCAAAGGAATTTCAGAGGAGGTGCCCCTTCCACTTCGTTCCTCATGCCCTGGCCACGGCCTTCTCTCTGCCCTCCCTTCTTGGCTCCATCGCAGTAAAAGAGAGAATGATTAACCCTGCACTACGGCTCCTGAAATAGTAGCTAGAACCATAAGAGTGACTAT